CTGCCCCAGGTATTCCAGAGGGTCTCGCCGTCAGTAAAGTCTCTCTCCAAAATAGGCGAAATTATCACCATGTTGTACTTCTTGGCGAGAAGAGATAGAAATTGGGTCGTGTGTCCAGTCTCAATGTCCTCCGCAAATTCGACCCACGGATACTTTTCCCTCGTGCAAAATGCGAACGGCATAGCTGCAATGATCGCGCAGATAGATTATTATGCAAATTTATATGATGAATATATAACGAAAAGCTATTATAATACTATAAATTTCACGTACTCCATGCTTCTTGGAGACATAAAATGTTAACTTTATATTGAGCTGCTTGTACAATATATGATTTAATCTTGCTGTGTATTGCATTTCGTTGATCGTAAACAAGATCCGATGTTGGTATCACTATGCTGTGTTGTATCAGTCCAACGCGAACTAGATTTGGGGTACGAAGCTGTTCACGGGTCACATGACTATGCATCTGCCAGCCTCTTATTTCAAAATGTTCATTTTCCCAGTCTATGTTTAATGACCTAAGAAAATAACATACGTAAATGTATCTTATGTAGCTTGCACAATTAGTGATAGAATTTACGTTGCTCGCAACATAGGTTTAATGTGTTTTTCAATACTACATTCTACGACCTCTCAATATTAGGACCAAGACGTTTGTAAGATTAGAGCTGTAAAATAAAAAACGCACGTACACACACGTATGAACACACATACACACGCACACGTACGTATTCACACGCGAACGTACCATACGTATTCACACGCACACGCATGCACACGGACAACAGTGAGAAATGATTCGTCGATCGACGTCGAAACGACATCGAATCGACATCGACACCGTCGAATTGACGTCGATCGACGAATCATTTCTTGCTGGGAAGTGCACACATGTACAATACGAACCGGCATAGATATCGTTCGTGTACACATATACACACGTATGCACACGCACCGACATGAATGCTGTACCTACGCGCGCGCGCGCGCGCGCGTGTGTGTGTGTGTGTGTGTAGAGAGAGAGAGATATACAATATATATATAGATTATTATACATACCTAAGAAATTGCGTATTACTTCTTGGTTAAGTCCCCAAGCAGTCAGCAGATGTATTGCACTACTTGTAGCCATTTCTCAATTCTTGAACAAGTCAAACTTATAGGAGATGAGTAAGATCACAACACGAGCGAGATTACACACGAGCAAGATTAGACACGAGCAAGAATGGCGATACCGGCACACGAAATGCGGACGACGTGTGCCCGTTGCAAACAGTAGACGAGAATACATGCGGACGACGCGTGCCCGTTGAAAACCGTAGATGTCGTAGAGATCACCTTTTGTTTTATGTCTGTCTCACTCACTCACTCAGGCTGCGTTCGGTTTGGGCGCTCACGCGCTGGAAGCATCGCTCTCTCTCTCTCTTCGTTTGATATTCGATGTGCAACGAAGATAGAATAATGCTTACAGCGTGCGAGCGCCCAAACCGAACGCAGTCTTATTATTTCACTATTTTCACTCACT